CCATATTGTTATCATCAGTATGACATTTGCTGCATTTATATGGTAATGAAAAGGGAATGTTGAGCCTGATACATAACGCACTGAGCTCAGGGTTGTTCAATTCGAGTTTGAGATTGGTAGATGGAATAACATCTAAAAATTCATATCCCCGATCTTTAAAAAGTTCAATAAATGTGGATCTATCTAATGGTGAGAGACTCGAAATAAGGTAATCAACGGAGTTTTTCACAAGTAGTAAATCCCAATCCTTCTGTTTTACAGAGATCGGAAATAGGGTTGAGGTTGTGACGGATTTTGCCCATTCTATCTTAGCTGTATTCAAAAAAGGATCGTGAACCGACAGATGTTGGTCAATTAATATAGGTGCCTGAAGGTGGCTGGCAACGAAGGCACATATTGAGATCGACAATGGAGATCTTATACCAAGGCCGCCATGTTTGGAAGGAAGTGTGGCTTGATGCCATGTCTGTAAATTTAATATTTAAGCAATCGCTAAGGATGACTTTTATTCTGGTTTCGAATCTCGCTAAATGCTCTCTCTATAAAAAATGGGCTCGATCGTAGGGCATAAAAAATTTTAGTTGAAGAAATTCCGAATTAAAGGCCTTGTGAGCCGAAAGACAAGGAAGAATGCATTTTAAATTTTTAAAGATATCGTCCATATCGCTAAAAAGAAGAATTCACTGACTCCTCACCAATGGGAGATTCCAAATGCGATAGATTTTTCAAGGGGACATGCTTAAAACCAAAAACGTTTTGCGGAATTATATTAATATCGCAGTATTCAGTTTTGATTTGATTAATTACAAGTTCAAGGCTGTCAGTAGAAGTTTTAACAATATTGATAGCCTTTACCACCTCTGCAGATTCCCCAGAGATGAACCCATCATCAATATACCATAAGTGTAAGGGTAGCGTGTAGTTATTGTTTATTTTAGTAATCAAATCATGGATACCAAGGCAAAATAATATGGAGCCTAGGGGATTACCTTGCTGAATACCTTCGGAAGAGGTTATGATATGATGACCAAATACCAAATTGATGGTTTCTTATAAGACGAGAGGATATAGTTTGTAAAAATTGGGAAATGTTTTATAAATTGAGATTATTACTTGTCTATGAATGCTATTGTAAGCATTTGTAAAATCGATTTTTACAAGATGTTGAGCAGTTGTAGTATTTTGAGCATAAATGCGCGTTATATGTGCAGCTGCTTCACAGCCTGAGCTCGTACCAACCCCATATTGCAAAGGAAAAAGTATATTAGATACTTGTGCAGAAATTCTGCTAGCTATTTACTTTGAACATAATCTCCTATATAAAGCACCAACAGCAATAGGCCTAATATCACCATTCTTTTTTCTCAGGGCGATAAGTTTGGCTCCAAAAAGAGAGCCCTTGCAAGGGACCTCACCATTAATGACCTTGTTGCATAATTGAGTTATTTTATCCAATAAAGAGGTTTGACTGTTGAGGATGGGAGTAGTTAAATCTTGAAGATATAAAGGTTTGATACCTTCAAATCCAGGAGCCGCGCCCTTCTGAAAAGATCTCACTGATTTAAATACTTCTTCCGATGCGAAAATTGGAGAAGGGTGGTTCTTGGTTTCATCATTATAGCTTCCAGTGTCTGGGGATGCTTGTCTAGTAATCTTTGGTATCTGCAAAAATAATTTTCTTCCGTCATGTTGGCCATTGTACCATTAATGGAGGAGGGATCGGGTTTTCTGTTTGTAGATGAGACACTATGTCCTACCATCTTTAAAAAAATTTTGTCGTTTAAGATTCAAAAGTGCTCAATGTTATTTGAATCAAAGGTATAAGAATGTAATTAGTTTAAAAAATATATAAATATTTCATCTAAAATTTTTGGAATTGAATCTGGTAAGGAATCGATGGAGCCATAAATGCCAATATATATGATCCTAAGCTAATTCCTTGCCTTCCTTGAACGGTATAATTATTAAGTCGTCTCATTTTCAGAGTGAATTGAACCCTAAGTGGTTCTAGCAATATAAATAAAAAAATATATAACCGTGGCATATCGGACACTCTTATAATCACTGAATTTTCCACAGAGTGGATGGTAGCCAATGGGCTTGACAGTCACTTTACACAACTTGCAAGTGAATAATTTTTAATTTACGTAACAATGAATATTTTTTAGTTGCTAGTAATCAAACTAAAATTCTGTTTAAAAAAAAGGTATAGGAAATGTAATCAATTTTTTGATACCAAAAATGATAAGAAATATATATGGCGAAAAAACTATAATATATAAATGTCATATATCCGTTACTGATAGATATCAAAATACTAAAATAACGCAATATTTTAAACACCGCCTTCTTTCCAACTCATAAAGTTACAAAGATCATCCACACTTTAACTTTGGAATAAAGAAGAAAAAGGAATAGAATATGCACAAATATTATGCCAAATATATGCTTAATTAAAAAGGTATAAATAAAAATGTATATTTTTCGGTTTTATTAATTTTGATTATTTTATACGAAATAATAATTTCACCGAATAATTCTTGATAAACTAAAATAAAAGTAATGGTCAAAAAAGATTGTGAAAATAATGTTTAACATGAAGTTGATTCGTAAATGATATAATATATAATTCCATATCAAATCAACTAAAAAAAAGTTGATTTTCAACCCGACCATCTCAGAATTTTTTAAAAATGTTGTATATTGGTAGTGTATATATAATAACTAAGAAAAAAATAAATAAAATTTTACTTCATAACACCTACTTACTCGCTAAGATATGGTTTTTAAGGAGCAGAAAAATAGTACATTTAGAGAAAATGAAATACATTTATTTTCAAATAGCTCAAGAAAATATAATGATAGAGGAAGAATTCTTTATTAGTAGCTTAAATAAATGAACGTTGCCCGGGGATGGCGAAAATGGCACACTTCACATAATTATTCACAGCTCCTAAAGTATTATAGGTAGAGAGCTTCACATTTTTTATTTTGCAGATGAGGTATTTGACTACATATAAATGTATAATTTGTTCTATTTTGTTAATGTTTCAAAGTTTTAAAGTAAATATACCAATCGTTTTATACCGGTCTCCCCTATTTGTTTTTTTTTAAATTAGACTGGGGTGAACATAGATCTAGGAGTTATGACCATTTATATAGATAATTGATCAAAAACAATATCATCATATTTATATTTAATAGATACTTATGTGATATTTTTATTTAAAAAATATGTCTAAATGCAAGGCATTACTTTATTATTTACAAAAAAATATTATTGAGAGAGGGGGGTTGGGGTGAATAATGTACACTTTTGTTAATTTTTCTCCAAATTACTTGGCAAAATCATTTTAAATATTTGATTTTAGCATAAATCAAAAATAGAAGTACAATTATATTTATTATTTGATGAATCCTATAGATTACATAACATTTGCATAATTGTTAGCATTAAAACGCACTACCCTTGACAAAATCCGCAAACTAATTTTTAAATTATTTAATCGAAAAATCAAATATTTATTCCTCATTCTTATAATCTCACAACAATCCTTATAAACTCATCAAAATCAACTTTTAAGTAAATTATGCATTTGTGATACAGGACCATGCACAAGGATTCTATTGGACCAATAATGAGGCCATTATTAATCCTTTCATGATTTGTTACTATTAAGAAGACTTAACTTAAACATGTAAATTTTGTTGTTATATAAGATTGTTTACTACGTATCCCACCCAAACCCCCCCCCCCCCCCTTCCTACCTATCAAATATTTAAAAATAATAGTAAAATAAGGGCCTTTCATTTAGATATAATTTTTAGATAAATATTATTACGAAAAGTATCTATTATATTTTAATATGATGATATTTTTGTTAAATTGGATCAATTTTAGCCATATAAAGAGTCATAACTCCTAGACTTACTTTTTTCCCAGTCTAAGATTTTGTAAAAATATAAAGCACTCTGGTATACATCTACAGAAAAAAAATTGAAAAAAATGTTTTTTTTTTGCCATGCCCAATTTTGATTTGTATTTCCGGTTTTGGGCATTTATCGAATTTATATCACATTTATTTATATGTCATAGTAATCTAATATTAAGCTCTAAAATAAAATTTAAATTCTTACTATAACTTAATTCTTTCAAGAGTAATTTGAAAATAGATAAAATACATTTTATCAAAAACTTAATTTTTCTTTCTTTGAAATATTTATCCCCACCCAGTTTACTCACAATTTTTTTTATATTAAGCTCTTATTATTAAACTCTAGTAAAAATCACTAATTGTTTTTGTTTTTATCACTACAATTCAAAATACCTTATTTTGATTATAAAATTTATCACGTAAAAAAAAAAAAAATTAGAATTTTTTACTATATTTTTGCAAACCCGAATTTGTTCCGGCTGGTTTAAAAATAAAATGTAAACAAGAGCCCAGCTCAATTTATTATGTAAAATTTTAGACCCGAGATCTGGAGACACAGACTGGGATTCAAATTTACTTGCATGTTCCTATAAAGTAGGTTTAGATTAGATAAGAGTTCCGACAACTTTATTTGAACTAGGTTTGGGGTATTCTGGATTGACACCCTAAATCGATATTTGCTATTTTCTAATAGTCTATAATTTTTAAATTTTTTTTAAACTTATTTCAATCATATTAAATTTCCATCAATGAAATAAAATTATGTTTTCTACCTTAAATAAATAATGTTAAAACGTTAACCTTGATATATTTACCAAAATTTAAAGTTAAAACATCATACATCAATTCGTTTCAACATAACCTTATACCAAATTGGTAAGGAAAATCCCAGTCCCTAATATAACTTTTAATAAAATTAGATATAGATGTTGACATGAAAATATATCAAATTTCTATATGCCCTTTAAAGTTGGAAAATTTAAATATAAAGTAAAGTATAAAAGCGCTTCTAATTAATATTGATTAAATTTTAAAAAAATTTGATCGTTAAATTTCAATTATATAATGCACTCAAGTTTCCTAGTAACAATTTATATTTATTTGATGTGGACTACAAATAATAATTTTTAACTCAGGGCCTTATTATTTTGTTGACCTTTGCGACTAACTATGGACTGGGTTTCATCTATGGTAAGAAAAATAAATATTTCATTGATATATTCATAAAAATTAAAGTAATATCTTTTTATTAAAAATGATTAACGGAGATGTAAAATAAAATAAACTTTACATAATCAATTTATTTTTCCTAATATTAGACTCATAAAATTGAGTTTTATAAGTGTAAACAAAATAAGATTATAATTATTATACTTAAAAATTTGTAATTTTATTATTGTAACTTATTGAGTTTGCAAGAAATAGAAATTAGTTTAGATAATAAAATATCTATATTGTACTGGAGCTTTTCTGGGATCATTAACTAAATATTAGAGCATTTTATTATACTTTATGTACAACAAAGTTATATTACACTTTCTAAATAATAGGTGTTCCCATTGTTGGTCGTAAACTTTTACAAGACTGTTTATTGTCCGGCGGAAGAGATAATATATATTTAAATGAAGAAATAGCTCAATCCATACCTGCAATATTCAAGCACAGTAAAATTGAATTAAATAAAATATTTTACATTATTTGATTAACATTATATAAAAAATATTTTTAAAAAATTGCCTTCTCATCTGATCCGAAATTCTTATTATCAAATTTTAGGAGATCTAATAAAAATCTGAAAATGATGATCAGTAGAAATAAGAAATCACTTGAATGTTAGCCCTACATGATTTAATAATATATCATTATATAATATTAAATAATTATTTTTTATATATTAAGGGATTCCTACGGACGTAGAATTTTTTTCCGTGAGAAAGCCTACTAAGAAATCTGAATGCAGTTTTGAAATGCTTTTTCATCTACCACCCTTATATGTGATAGGTAAATACATATTTTATAACTTTATTCATATTGTTAATAAAGGTGTAAAAATTCCAACAACTACTATTATTGTTTCTACCAGCAATTTGACGGTAGAATATAATAGGAACGGACTAACAGTTGTTGTACGAAGAGAATTACCCGACATCGGAATCTATAGAAGATTTAGATTTTATGTTAAAAATTTAGCGAAGTCGGCGATTCTTAATATAGCCTTTGAGGTTAATTATTTAGTATTAATATTTATGTTTAAAAATTAAATTATACGATCTTAAATATTTATGTTAAATAGATCAATATGTGAATACAAATAAAAACTTATATTCAATCAATATATTCTATCTAATTATAGCTTAAGTAAAAATAATAATATATAAATAACCCCAATACGTTTTAATTTAATTTAACTTTTATTTTATTAATCGGTAAATTAATAAAGGAATAATAATTATTGTATTTTTTTTTAAATATAAATTTATTTAGATTTATATAAAACTATATCACAATTTTAAAATAATACTTTGAACGTTAAAAGTAAAACATATATAAGTAATTTTAAAATATATATTAAAAATATCATGTAAACTATTTGTAAATTAAAATCTATATAAAAAACTGTATAATAAAAAAAAATAATTAGTATAGTAAATTGTATGTTGGGTGGGATGAGGTCAAGAAAGAGAGCCGTGTGGCAAGATTAGTAAATAGTATAGTTGTTACCAATACTTTTTAAATCTATCCAACATATAAATACAAATCCAGAATGTCTGCATATAAGATTCATTAATTATATTTATAAGTATATATTAAAGACTACCAAAGTTGAGCATTAATTAATTACACATGTAATTAATTCCATATTTACAACTTCTTTTTTGTAATTAGAAACAGTAATTAATTTCACTTTAAAAGGGTAACTTTAGAAAATAATCAGTTATAATTTATTAAACATCCTAATTACATTTTTAAATTCTTTTTCTTATTTAATAAAATTTTATGAACAATAGGTAATAATTGAAAAAATTTATTCATATTTTTGACAGGAACGGAAACCTAATGAGTTCTTCTGAAGATAACTTCTGATCTTCTAATATGATCTTGCGTTCAGAAGATGATAAATCTAACTAGTCAATAATCCAATTTTTATGTTAAAGAGAAATATAAAATATACAAAATAGCCATATGTTAAAATATAAGAACATAAAATTAAAATGTAAAAAGGGTTAATATATACAAAAAATATAAACTACTTAAAAAGGATTTTTAAAAAAAGTTAGGTTAGCTCGTACGAAAGGAGGTTTCCAATGAAACGGATTAAATGGATTTATGAATGGCAATGTTTTAATTATAATTAATTACCACAATCTAAAAAAAATTCAATTGTTGTAGATAATTACGGGAAGGGGGGAGGAAGATTGTTATAAAGGGAAGTTAATTTAATATTATTTCGTACTAAAGAAATTTTATTACATTGTAAGACTCTTTGCTACGTGATTCTGCAACCATTTTAAAGGCATAGGATTTAATAAAAGATTTTTTTAGAGTTAAAACTACAGCGGAAAGTCTGCTTTTTTAACTAATATATTACACCCAGCTAAACAAATTAATTTAAAATATTAATAATATTTGAAAACAAATCACATGGGAATATAAAAGTTCGGATATTATAAAAAATAATTATGATAATTTCTTGAAGTGATTTAATATGATTATTAAAATATTAAACAAATATTATTAGAAATAATTTAATATATTAATAAAAATTTAATGTGAAATAAAAACAATATAGATATTAAATTTATTAAATTAACATTTAGACTATAGTTGGAAATCCTGCTGAAGTTTCTGAAGGAGAAATAAATTATATTAATAGAGGAATACAATCTATTTGTGACAGTAAAACTCATAATAGGAACCCAAGAAGTACAAGAACACCTGAAACGCCCAAAACTACCAGAACACCGAAAACGACTAGAACCCCTAAATCAACTATAACTCCCAAAACGACTAAAACACTTAAAACAACTAGAACATTTATAACAACTAGAAGCGCCAAAACAAGTAGAACCCCTATAACAACAAGAACTTACAAAACAAGTAGAGGAAGAAAAACTAGAAGACAAAAAACCATAGTAGGTCATACAACAAGGCAAAGAACTACTGAAAACCAGAGAACTACACCAAGTCAAAGAACTACTGAAAGCCAGAGAACTACCCAAAGTCAACGAACCACTGAGAGCCAACGAACTACAGTAAGCCAACGAACTACTGAAAGCCAAAGAACGACTGAAAGCCAAAGAACGACTGAAAGCCAAAGAACGACTGAAAGCCAAAGAACTACAGTAAGCCAGCGAACTACTGAAAGCCAAAGAACCACAGTAAGCCAACGAACTACTGAAAGCCAAAGAACAACTGAAAGCCAAAGAACTACCCAAAGTCAACGAACAACTGAAAGCCAGAGAACTACGGTAAGCCAACGAACTACTGAAAGCCAAAGAACAACTGAAAGCCAGAGAACTACTCAGAGTCAACGAACTACTGAAAGCCAAAGAACGACTGAAAGCCAGAGAACTACCCAAAGTCAAAGAACTACTGAAAGCCAGAGAACTACCCAAAGTCAAAGAACTACTGAAAGCCAAAGAACAACTGAAAGCCAGAGAACTACCCAAAGTCAAAGAACTACTGAAAGCCAAAGAACAACTGAAAGTCAGAGAACTACCCAAAGTCAAAGAACTACTGAGAGCCAACGAACTACTGAAAGCCAACGAACTACTGAAAGCCAAAGAACTACCCAAAGCCAACGAACAACTGAAAGCCAAAGAACTACTGAAAGCCAGAGAACTACCCAAAGTCAAAGAACTACCCAAAGTCAAAGAACTACTGAAAGCCAGAGAACTACCCAAAGTCAAAGAACTACTGAAAGCCAAAGAACAACTGAAAGCCAGAGAACTACCCAAAGTCAAAGAACTACTGAGAGCCAACGAACTACTGAAAGCCAACGAACTACTGAAAGCCAAAGAACTACCCAAAGCCAACGAACAACTGAAAGCCAAAGAACTACTGAAAGCCAAAGAACTACTGAAAGCCAAAGAACTACTGAAAGCCAAAGAACTACTGAAAGCCAAAGAACTACAGTAAGCCAGCGAACTACTGAAAGTCAAAGAACCACGGTAAGCCAACGAACTACTGAAAGCCAAAGAACAACTGAAAGCCAGAGAACTACCCAAAGTCAACGAACAACTGAAAGCCAACGAACTACTGAAAGCCAGAGAACTACAGTAAGCCAACGAACTACTGAAAGTCAAAGAACAACTGAAAGCCAGAGAACTACTGAAAGCCAAAGAACGACTGAAAGCCAGAGAACTACCCAAAGCCAACGAACTACTGAAAGTCAGAGAACTACTGAAAGCCAGAGAACTACCCAAAGTCAACGAACTACTGAAAGCCAAAGAACTACCGAAAGCCAGAGAACCACCCAAAGTCAAAGAACTACTGAGAGCCAACGAACTACTGAAAGCCAACGAACTACTGAAAGCCAAAGAACTACCCAAAGCCAACGAACAACTGAAAGCCAAAGAACTACTGAAAGCCAAAGAACTACTGAAAGCCAAAGAACTACTGAAAGCCAAAGAACTACTGAAAGCCAAAGAACTACTGAAAGCCAAAGAACTACAGTAAGCCAGCGAACTACTGAAAGTCAAAGAACCACGGTAAGCCAACGAACTACTGAAAGCCAAAGAACAACTGAAAGCCAGAGAACTACCCAAAGTCAACGAACAACTGAAAGCCAACGAACTACTGAAAGCCAGAGAACTACAGTAAGCCAACGAACTACTGAAAGTCAAAGAACAACTGAAAGCCAGAGAACTACTGAAAGCCAAAGAACGACTGAAAGCCAGAGAACTACCCAAAGCCAACGAACTACTGAAAGTCAGAGAACTACTGAAAGCCAGAGAACTACCCAAAGTCAACGAACTACTGAAAGCCAAAGAACTACCGAAAGCCAGAGAACCACCCAAAGTCAACGAACTACTGAAAGTCAAAGAACTACTGAAAGCCAAAGAACTACTGTAAGCCAAAGAACTACTCTAAGCCAAAGAACTACCCAAAGTCAACGAACTACCGAAAGCCAGAGAACTACTGAGAGCCAAAGAACGACAGAAAGCCAAACTACTACTTCCGCTCCCACAACTACGATTACTCCTCCAAATATTAATGTTATTCTATTCGAATGATTACGGAAGCTCTAGAACAACTTACATCGAAACTATTACCACATATACATAATAATTTTGAAATTATTAGAAAATTTAATTTTATCAACTTAACATCATAAATATTATTTATTTTCATCAAATATATAGCATTATTCCTTATATTATTATTTCGACCAATAAAATTATATTATAACAATATTTTCATGTAAATTTTTATCCTTTTAAAATACATTCGATATTATAAGCCCTCACTCGTTTATGGACAAGCCGCACGTACTTTTAAGCACAACAGTCCAAGAATTGTTGTTTAAACGTCTATAGGCTTATAACAGAAGAGTTGGACATAACAAAAGCCTATATCCAAGAACTACAATATAATTTAATTACTTTAAGGGTAAGGTGGTGGTTGATTTTAAATTTAAATTATTTATTGTAAGCCTCAATGATTCAAATAAATGAATAATAAGATAGAGAAATTAAAATATAAGAATTAATTAAAAGTAGTGGATAAAAGAAAATACATTAAAGTTTAGTAATACAACTAATAAATAAACAAAATGGATTTGATAATGTAAAAACGTGTTTTGAGAAAAGTAAATTTATGTAAAAAGTAAATAAAAAGGATAAAAAATATATAAAGTAGTGTTCCAAAATAGAAAATTTTTTAGAAATTGGAATAATTTCTAAAAGAATTGGTGGTAAAAATAAGTATGGAGTTTAAATAAAAAAAAAATAAAAATATTATTATGAATAAGCAACATTAATTGAATAAAAAAATATAAAAAGTAAGAAATAGTGGTTAAAAAAATTATAAATGCAAGTGATTATAAGTATTAATTTTTATTAAATGTATTAAAAGAATATTAATATGTAGTTAGTTTATTATGTGGAAAATCTAAGAATATGTATAATAAGAAATAAGATGATATTTTTAATTGAAGGATGAATAGAAAAATATGTAATTTTTTAATAGTTAATTAGAAATTTGGAAGAAGGTAGAATAAAGTGGGTATTAAAATATAATTATAAAAGGTGATAATTTAGTAATCTTATCTATTTTGAATCCAAAAAAATACCACATCGATAATATAGAATGAAATAAGAATATATAGTAGTTTCCATTTCATCTAAATTGATTATCATTTTCCACATTACACTATTAATGTAATCTTGTTAATTCTTAATTCATTGAGAGAGACTAGAAATAAACATATGAATAAATAAAATTAAAATACAAGTACAAATACAAATACAGTACAATCACTTATCAATAATACTAGATCATTATATCCAAGATAATCCACTAATCATACCGGAAAAACCGAACCCAAGAAATATCTAAAATATATCTTATCTCAAAGATATAAAAAAAAATCAAAAAATCAACCATAAATATTGAATCAGATGTATAATAAAAATAAGTCACAAAATTTCTCCTTACTTCACCTAATTAATTGACGAAAAGAGAAAGCATTATGCATCCTCTCTAAATATATTTTATAAAAAATAAAAAAATTTATAAAATAAATATTATTATTATATATTCTCTATTAACTTTCCTAGTAATGGGAAATAAGATTAACATTTTTTCAGGAATAGGGAAGAAATGACGTAAATATATAAATTATTAAATATACCGAAATCTAATCACTTTATTTCATTTATTTTATTTGGCAAACATATAAAAAATTATTCAAAATTTTTAATAGTTTGTATATATCAAAAAATAAATTATAACCTAAATCAGATATATTTTTATATTAATTATATCCAATAACTTAACTCTTACAAATGTTTGATATTAATATTATATTTCTAATTTTTACACTATAGCAATATAATAACATATGGGCAGGCACATAATAATTTTTCTATGTAAATCTTAATGACATCTATAAGATGGACCTATTTAAGGAAGTTTTATCTCTGTAAAAAGATTATTTATAATGATTCTTACTTAGTCAATCATATTTTTTCCAAAATATCAATAAAGAAAGGAAAAATCAAAACATATTCTTTTCTAAAAATATATTGAAAAACGTCCATAAATGTCAAATAAATCGATAGATACAACACCACCCTTGAGAAATCAAATTGGGGTAAAGAAATACAATTTATCGTATATATATAATCAAAGTAAATGTTTACAAATTCAAATAAATGATCTAAAAAAATATAAAAATTATTATTATTATTTAGTTTTAAAAAAAAATTTTCTGAATCTATATTTTTTTCTTGACCATATATTAATTGTCATTGAGCTGTTGTTATCATTAACGGCATTATAATCATAGCTTGATTGATATTGTACTGTTGATTGTCATTAAATCTTAACGGTTGGTGGACCATAGCTTGATAGATATTTTACTGTTGATTGTCATTAAATCTTAATGGTTAGTGGATCATAGCTTGATTGATCCGTAACATCATTGATTAGTTATAATCATTCTATCTTAGGCTTGGTATCATTAATCCAGCAACATTGTTGTTGATCGGGCTAAATCATTATAGTTGATTGGACCGAATATTACAAAGAGTAAGTCAGTCAAATGTTTTTTTTAAATTATATTTAAAATATATTCTTTATTCTTTCCTTTTAACATTTTCCCAGATACACTTCTTCCCTATCAATGGTAATTCTAAATTTAATATATTAAACACAAAATTTCTGTTCCTAATATACATATGAGACCTTTTATTATACGACGGACTGCTACTTTTCCCCCTTTCCTTCAGTCTACTGATATCAAAAGCAGAGTTGTACAAAAGATCTTCTTTGAAGATTTTTGAGCGAGATCTAGCTCAAAAATTTGAGCAAGATCTTTGAAGATCGTAAAATCTTTTATTTATAAAAAAATTTGAGCAACGATCTTAAAAGATCTAGATCTTTGAAGATCGTAAAATTTGAAGATCTTTTATTTTTTAAAAATTTTGTGTAACGATCTTCAAAGATCTTCATGATATTTATTTTTTTACCCCTTTATTAAAAGCCCAGATGTTTTTCAATTTTCATCAAGGCAGGAGGAGAGGTATAAAACATAAAAGAAATATTATATTAATAAAATTGAAAAACATCTGTTTAATAAAGGGGTAAAAAAATAAATATCATGAAGATCTTTGAAGATAGTTGATCGCAGCTTCAAAATCGTTACACAAAATTTTTAAAAAATAAAAGATCTTTAAATTTTACGATCTTCAAAGATCTATATCTTTTAAGATCGTTGCTCAAATTTTTTTATAAATAAAAGATCTTCAAATTTTACGATCTTCAAAGATCTTTTTATTTTGAGCAAATGTACAACTCTGATCAAAAGGCTTCATTTATATAATCTCCAAAATTTTAAAAATAAAAAATATTCTAATATTAACTAATGGCTCCCTCCATTATTATCCTTTATATATATAAATCCACATTTACATTTATTATACATATAAAATCAAAAATATTTTTATTATTTTACCTTTTACATATATATAATATTACATGTTTCTATATACAAACCTTTAATATTATTCCTCTTTTTAAAAACTTGAACTATTTACGACCACTTACAATCCATCTTTTGCTCACGTTTAACATCTAACTTTGCATACTTTATATTTAATTTCATATTTTTTAAACATTAGCAAAATGTTTCATATCCATTTTTCATTCATTTTTTCTTAAACATTAGCAAAATGTTTTCCATACAGATAATTTTAATTTTATCTTTTTTTTTTAAAAAAAATATATTATCATAATCCTTTTTTTCTTCACATTATATTTCTAAAAAATTTATTTAGCTAATTATGACCCCGAAATTTAAATATTAAGCAATCTTTTCTATCCTGCACAACGTGAGGTCTTAATTACCTAAGACGGATACCTATACTCCATTCAATGAGTCTTAAGGCTTACAAATAAGACTTATTATCTGGGTTTAAAAGTTGTTTCAATCAAAACACATAATACAGAAATTATTATTAGCCCCACCATATCCCATGGTATAGAAATTATAATTTCCCCAACATATCCAATGGTTCCCAAAAAAAATTTTCAAAAAGTAAACTATTATCCAGCGTCTACATGACAGAATTTTCACTGGATGCAAACCCCCTTCAAAAACTTTGCCTACCCCCCTAAAAAATTCTTGCCACCTTCGGCGGCGATGTTTTTCCATTATTATTTCCACTTTTTTAATTATAAGGAAATTTTTTCAGAGAATTTATAAAGGATAACTTAAATTAATCTATCTCTACTACCAACTATCAATATTTTGTAAATATCAAGGATTTATTTTGTAAATATAAAGGATTTATTTTGTAAATAAAGGATTTATTTTGTAAATAAAGGATTTATTTTGTAAATAAAGGATTTATTTTGTAAATAAAGGATTTATTTTGTAAATAAAGGATTTATTTTGTAAATAAAGGATTTATTTTGTAAATAAAGGATTTATTTTGTAAATAAAGGATTTATTTTGTAAATAAAGGATTTATTTTGTAAATAAAGGATTTATTTTGTAAATAAAGGATTTATTTTGTAAATAAAGGATTTATTTTGTAAATAAAGGATTTATTTTGTAAATAAAGGATTTATTTTGTAAATAAAGGATTTATTTTGTAAATAAAGGATTTATTTTGTAAATATAAAGGATTTATTTTGTAAATAAAGGATTTATTTTGTAAATATAAAGGATTTATTTTGTAAATTTAAAGGATTTATTTTTTAGATAATAAATTCAATTAAAACCTCCATTATTTACAATGAATTCATTATTATAGCATTATGAGCTTGCTGAAATATCTAAACCTTTTAAATTACATTTAAAAGGATAGCAGAATTTGGAAAACAATGTGTATGATTGTTTGCAATATATAGATTTGGTCGATGAATTGTATTATAATAATTCTATAATAAAAGTATTAATTTTTACAGCAATAAATTTGTCCTATTTCATCTCAAATTTAATAGATAACCTCAAAAAATTTATCCTACCCCCATTAAAGCCGCCTATCCCCTACCCTCCTCAAAAAAA